GGGGGTTACGGGAGGGGAGGTTCGAGGTCAAGGAGGGGAGGGAGTATACTGTCTTCTGTTTTGTATTGACCTTTATAATTCAGGAAAAAATGCTGATGTCCCGATTTTCTGATTGTGTGGCTCTGGCTTTCTCTTGTTGCTAGTTGAACGCGAGGGGCGAGGGTTCAGGAAGGACGAGGGTTCTGAGTGACTGCATGTGATTTATCTCGGTCGTTGTGGAACACGAGGGAGCGAAGGGTAAAAAGAAGAGGAGGAGGAAGAAGAGGAGGAAGAAGAGGAGGAGGAAGAAGAGGAGGAAGAAGAGGAGGAGGAAGGGTGGTAAAGAGAGGGATGAGCAAAGCGAGGAAGGAGGACTGCGGTGATGTCGAATAGGAGGTGGATGAATGGGGGAACTAAAGAATGGAGGGGGAGGGGGAGGGGGAGACGGTGGGAGAGGAGAGGGAGGGTGAAGATGGTGCAGAGGAGGTGGAAGAGGAGGTGGAAGAGGAGGTGGAAGACGAGGGAAAGGATTTCGATGCAGAGGAGAGAGAGTGGAAACGGCAAAGGATCGTTGAGAGGAGTGAAGATGGACTGAGAGGAGTGAAGATGGACTGAGAGGAGTGAAGATGGACTGAGAGGAGTGAAGATGGACTGAGAGGAGGAAGAGGAGGAAGAAGAGGAGAGGAAGAGGAGGAGGAGGAGGAGAAGGAGGAGCGAAGGAAGAAGATTGTGGAGACGTCAGAGAGATCAAGGTTGCGAAGAGAGGAAGAGGAGAGGAAGAAGAGAGGAGAGGAGAGAGTGTTATGGAAAGAGAGAGGGAGGGAAGTTTGGGAAGTTCAGAATAGTAGAGGAGAGTTTTAGGAGGAGATCAAGGAAGGTAGGTGGTTTACTGAAAAACTGGTCGGCGTAATGATGACCCCTCAGATTGGTCCCCCTCTTTTCAAATTGAAAACGAAATGCCGATATCCCCCGCCAGGGGGGGCGCGGGGAGGGGTCTGAAGAAGCCATGGAAGAGGACCGAAGTTCCAGAGAAGGAGAGAATCTGGATGTGGAGAGAAAGGGGAAAGCGATGGTGGGGTAAAGAATGGGAGGAGGAGGAGGAGGAGGAGGTGGAAGTGGAAGGAAGGGGAGGAAGAGGAGGAAGAGGAGAAGGGGGGAGGAAGCCGGGGGTTCAATAACCGGCCAAGGAGGAGGAGGAGGAGAAGGAGGAGGTGTTGGAAGATGAATAACGGGAGGAAGAGGACGGGGTGATGCAGCCGAAGGGTGAATATTCAGCCAAGGAGGTGGAGGGGGAGGGAGGGGGGGAGGAGGAAGGAGGAGGTGGAAGGAGGTTAAGAATAGGACGAAGATGAAGAGGGGATGAAGCCGAGGGTTGAGAGGAGGAGAGAAGTTCGATTGACCAGCGAGGAGGGCGGCCGAGGTTCCATTTTCCTCGTTCGATGGTGTTCACTTCCTCTCCTTCCTTCCCCTCCTCTCATTTCTCCCCTCCCCCCCCCCCCCCCCCCCCCCCCCCCCCCCCCCCCCCCCCCCCCCCCCCCCCCCCCCCCCCCTGCTCCCCCTTTGCTCTCCTTGTGTTCTCTTCATCACTATCTTTCTATGTGGAAAATCGTACTACGCTGTTTTCCTAATGTGGAATAACCTTGTGCACCTGTTTTCCAAATGTGGAATAACCTTGTGCACCTATTTTCCAAATGTGGAATAAGCTTGTGAACCTGTTTTGTACCCTTTTTCCTAATGTGGAATAAACTTAATGTGAAAAATGCGTTTAGAGAGGAAGGGGGAGAGGTTATCGACAAACGACAAACCAAAAATTCTGGAAAAATGTTTGTAGAAGAGGAAGGGCATGATTGAAGAGGAGGAGGAGGAGGAGGAGGAGGAGGAGGGTATGGTGCTCTCACAGTCCCAGTTGGTCTTCCCCCGGCTACCGTCTTCCGCGAACATAACGTATCCTGATAGTGATGATGAATGTATAAAGGCTATCTTTCCGGTCATGAACAGCCATAATGAGGATGCGTTATGTTCGAGGGAAGACGGTAGCACTTTTCCGCTCAGCCTTTCGTTCGGGTCTCGAGTCAGTGGGTAGGGCGCTGAAGGGTTCAGTTCTTTTTCTCTCGCCTGCCTTTCCTCCCCTATCCTTTCTTTCCCCCTTTTCCACTACCCCTTTTCTCTCCATTGCTCTCTTCCTCTCTCTCCTTTTCTCTGCTTCTCTCCCTCTCTCTCCTTTTCTCTGCCTCTCCCTTTCTCTCCTTCCGTTTTTCTCCCCTTCTCTCTGCCTTTCCCTCTCTCCCCTTCTTTCTCCCTTTCTCTCTGCCTCTCTCTCTCCCTTTGTCTCTTCCTTCATCCCTTGTCTGCCATTGTGTTCTCTAGTTGGTCTCCTCGGTTTGCGTTCTCACCTTTTCTCTTCTATCTCGCTTGGCTCTCGTGCTTCTTTCTCTCTCTCTGTTGCTGTGTTTTCTCTCTTCGACTCTCTCTGCAGCTCTCTTTCCTTCTCGTTTGTATCTCTCGTTTTCTCTGTCTTTCTCTGGTATTCATGTCATCGTTCTTTCCCTCTCTGTGTCTCGTTCGATGAATGAATGAATGAATCAACCAACCACGCGCTCACGCACTCACTCAATCAGTCACCCAATCAACCAACCACTCACCCTGGTAACCAACCACTCACGCTATCAATCAATCAACACATCAACCAACCAACCAACTACGCAACCCCTCAATCAATCAATCAATCAATCAATCAATCAATCATTCGAATCAATCAATCATATCAACCACTTACTCGATTAATCAATTAATCAATCAATCAATCAAGCATTGGAACCACTCAATCAATCCATCAATCAGTCAATCATTAATTAATCAATCGATCAATCAATCATTGGAATCAATCAATCAATCATTGGAATCAATCATATCAACCACTCACTCAATTCATCAATCAATCAATCAATCAATCAATCTATCAATCAATCAAGCATTGGAACCACTCAATCAATCCATCAATCAGTCGATCATTAATTAATCAATCAATCATTGGAGCAAGGCACAGTGTTGATGGAGCCGTGAGGCGAGAGTCAGCCAGCGGGTGGATGGGTGCCGTTCGATTAGTGTGTCAGGGAGAGATAGCCATGGTAAAAGGAAAAAAAAAAAGAAAGGGAGAGATGGCCATGGTAGGTAGACGTTCAAGACGATAAATATAGCGGTGTATCTTTCCATGTTCTACGGGAAAGTTCATTGTCATTCTGCACATTTGGTGAAGGGTGGAGCCAGGCCCTAGGGCCTAGGGCGTCGCTCCACCATTCTCGACATGCACCAAAAAAAAATTAAAAAAAATCATTGAGGCTTATCGAGGTTTCGTTTGATAGCGTGCATGGAAGAGACGAGATTTTTTCGTTTTTTTTCTTTTCTTTTTCTCCTTTTTTCTCGAAAATGTCCTTCCTCCGATTTGACAGATGACCCTCGTTTTGCTCAAGGGGAGTATGGGCTGTTTTTTTTTTTTTTTTTTTTTTTCCTGAACTCTGATTAACCTTCGCTCTCTTTTTTTCCCCCTTCTTCCTTTTCTCTTTCGTAATTTTTCTGGCTGGATTTTTCTTTTTTTTTGAAAGGATGACCCCTTTAGTATCTTATGGGATCCGGATGCTGGGCTCTCCTTTGCAGTCTAAAAGGATGGAAGGCCTGCTTACCACGTGTACGTCCGTGCTTGGTCGTTCGGGGCTGGTCGGTCACCGTTTTTTTTTTTTTTTTTTTTTACTAAGCCATCTTCTTCTCTCAATTTTTTTTTTTTTTTTTTTTTTTCCAATTTCATCTTTCACTATCTACCTACCTACCACTACTCCTAAAAGCCTATACAGGGGACCCCTGCAAGCAAAGCTACCGCTCACAAAAGACGTGTGAGAAAGAGAGAAGCCGTCATTTTGTTTCTTTGTTTTTTTTTTCTTTTCTTAACTAGGCTAGGCTACCAGCCGGGCCGCCCGGGTCCCGGGTGGCCAGCCCGTGCAAGGACGAGGGAAGGTCCCAGCAAAAAAAAAAAAAAAAAAAAAAAATCCGAAAAACAACTATGTTATGCAGAAAAATAAACTGGACAACTTTTGCCTCAGGGTCACATCGAAATTCCTCACGGAATTTAAAATATAAAATATAAATTTATTTTTAGTTTTTATTTGTTTTTTGCCCCGGCCGGGCAAGTGACCCCGGGCCACTCTGGTAGCCTAGATACTAGCCATATTCTTCTCTCGATTTCACCTTTCACTATCTACCTACCTACCACTAGTACTAAAAGCCTATATAGGGGACCCCTAAAAGCCTATATAGGGGACCCCTGCAAGCATAGCCACCTCTCACAAAAGACGTGTGAAAGAGAGAAGCCGTCCTTTGTTTTCATGTTTTTTTTTTTTTTTTCCCTGTACCTCTCACAAATGACGTGTGAAAAAGTGAAGCCGTCGTTTTTTTTTTTTTCCTGTACGAGGGCGACGGCCTTGACAGAGAGAGATCATCTTCGCACTGACTTTTTTTTTTCTGTTTTTTTCAGAATCATTATTTTCCATTCATAGCGCCTTTCTCTCAATTTACGGATTTGAACTCGATGACTGGCTCCGTTTCTTTTTTTGTTTTTTTTAATGCTTAAAAAAAAAAGACCCTTTCT